GGACCAATCAGATTACCGGGATAATATATAGTATGGAGATATACCAAGTGATTACACTGCTTTATTACACCGAACTGTCATGATGTATGGGATAAACGTATTTATCAGATGCGTGTTCCCTTCTATTGTTGCCTCTCACTCTACGCATATGACTCGACTGAATTAATATTTCAAATGTGATCGACTATTTTCGGCGTGTGAACTATCTGTCAGATGAATTCGCCACTGCGAAGAACGTTCAAAAACGCGCAAGATTGTGGGGGTATGAAACAAATGTGGATAATCCTTAGTTTATCGATTTGTATCGGAAATGTCCGCTTGTTCACCGGAAGTGCCAAATCGTTCGTTTCCTCATATGACCACGTGTACAATTCGCGGAGCGACCGTGATAGCCAACTTTGACCCCACGTCCAAATGCACAGTAAACATATGAACCTTATAAGACTTGCGTTGCAATGCTTACGAATAAATTCGACACATTTATATTTGAACTTAAAATTGTTACTGTATGTATCGAGTCATGTGTCTATGCATCTGATACTGGTATTCCGAACATATGTGACGTCATCGCAGACGTTTGAATTCTCGTGTAGCCTCTTGTCTCTCCGATCTACAGTCATGAACACGCTGTTCTCGTAACATGTATCTGCACTTTAAATCTTGGAAGCACTTTTCATGTTTTTCATTGAAACACACCGTTTTAATTGAAAACACACTGTTGTAATTAAAAACTTGTGTATTACATAATACAGCACCTGCATTTTCTATCAAAACAGTAGTGTTTTAGTATTTTGGAAAACGTGTTTTACGAAGTTATTAAAAACATTTTTTGATGAAAATTAAGCACATTGTAAACACACAGAAATAAACTTTTTCAAAATTATTGATTGGTTTTCAAAGACACTGATTGGTTTACGGGGACATGTATGTGTAATTGAAGTGTTTATGGATAGGACATTTATGGACTAGTGCATCCAACTTTATGCAAGCAGCGTCAACAAAATTGAGTAAAAAGTCTGGCGACTCGTAAATAAACATTAGGGTATCTATGCCAACCAGACATTACCTTCAGAAAATAATTGTATATGCAGTCTACGGTACGCATCTATAATAGACACATTACTTATTATCGGGAAATGCTAATATGTGTCACCATTGTCAGCAGACATGCGTGCATGTAGCGATATATTTATTGATTTTAGCATATTCAATAATAAACTGCTATATATATTCATGTATTTTGCGAGTGTGCATACCATGTAACTGTCGCAAGTTTAATGACCGATGGAATTAAACATGCGCGGTGTTGTTATCAATGCTCGAGTTAGTATTAAGCTGGATGACAAAGCGCTAGACAGGCGTAAATTCCATGTGATCTAATAATTAGATTCATTTACTTTACATCTAATATTCTATTGGCGGAGCCTCAGTGTTGAATTCCATTAAGATGATTACCACATAACTATTTTATATTTTTTTACCACATAACCATTTTACTCTTATTTAGAAATGTCATTAATACAATAAGTACAATATGATAATTTATATTGAACATTAATTTAGTTTGCTACTTCTTTGCAAACATTTTGATATACATTTCGTAAACGACGGTGTTCATGATGAACACTATTACATTTTGCGTGTTCAAGTAGCTGGTAACTTGTGTCGTGAGCACGCTCATTCATGATTGAATTATACTATCGGGAGTGTGTGGACAGATGGCATATTTGTTAATGAAGGAACAACTTGGACCGAATTATGCCATTTTCCATTTTCTGAGGAAAGAAAGGAAACGGACGTTATCCTAAACAAACGATGATGATATTGTTATTCTGTTACGAAACGAGTGGAAAGTGTAATTGATAGAGACAGATTCGAAGACTGTTTGTGTATAGGATGGCAATAAATAAAAATTAATGATTTTTAATTTGTTCCACTATTTTCCCCAGGAATTTGATGTGCCCGGAGAGACTGCATTCGAGACAACAGTACCACATGGGAAGAGATTGAGCACTTTCATTTATGTCATTGAAGAAAGGGTTCAAAGATGTTATTGTTCGTTTCAGTTCATTACTCATCTGTTTTGAATGTCAGTAAACACACTTATTCAGCTGCTTGATCATGAAACGCATCATTTTATACGTTTTGTTTTTCAAAATGATAATGTTAATTTTTACAATGTTATCAGTGTAAATACATTTGTCAATATTCAGTTTGTGTTTTTTATGAAAGCTCTTTTCAAAGTGTTGCGATGATAAACACTTTTTAATACACATTTCTGGTGGAAACTCTTTTCAAAATGCGTGTTAGTGAAATCACTTTTCAAAGACTTGTGATAGTAAACACTTCATTAAAACATGTCTTTAGTTGAGACACTTTTCTACGTGTCGTTATAAAAAACACTTTACAATATGTGTGTCAAGTAAAAGCATTTTAAACGTGTTGTGATAATAATAAGCACTTTTTATACATGTCCCTGGTGAAAATACTTTTGAAAAATGTGTGTCTGGTAAAAACACTTTCAAAAGTGATAATAAGCATTGTATTCATGTTTCTAGTGGAAACACTTTACATAATGTGTTATGTGTAAAACATCCCTGAAATGTTTCAATAAAAAAACTAACTGCAAGTGTTTTCATAATATACACTTCTGTCAATTATGCAGATTATTTTAAAGTGGGGACAAGCTTATAAAAACTTTAAATGTTTTATCACATAATAGTAAAATGTTTTTATTTTAAAACAGTAATCTTGTAAAATAATGTGTTTATGTATGAAACACTTAAAGTGATTTTAATCAAACTAAATGCACATTGGTAGTTAGAGTATAAAGTTTGAAAGGCCATTATTAAAACACATGTCAGACGAACAAAACAGACCGACAAACTCAACACTTTTCGTAACCGTATTTCTTGAGCGAGTCAGTATACATCAACCATATTGACACATTCCACCGCTTGATTCTTATCTGTGGCACGCATGAATAAGGGATGTTAGCATATCCGCAAAAACTTGGGAAAAATGTATTCTTTCAATAGGTTGACTTTGCTCAAATACAAGAAAAATCGTTGCTTCTCAGCCTGATAAAAGGTGCGCTCAATTGCTTGTTTGTTTTATGTTCGCTCTATCGCTGTTGCATTTCCCAAACTAATGCGAAAATGAAATGTGTTTTATTGAAAAATAGAAGGGGATTCAATTTAAAAATCGGTAGAAGTGTGTCATTTTTTTTCATTTTTCAGATCGCTCGTATGTCCTACTAGTACCTACATTTCAAATAGCTCCAGGAGGTACATTCGTATTTGTATCGTTGTTTCTGAACCTCTCGACCATTTCACTTGCATACACCAATGCTGAAACGTTTTTTTATCATTAGCATTATACATACTAGACATTTTTAATTAATTTTTGCGTACGTGGCATGGAAATAAATGATTTGTCTACGTCATAATATCCGTATTCTGATGTAATCTTCTACGAATGTATTTCTTAGTTTATTATTTCCATTCGAAAACATTGTATTTCACAGTTATGTGGTCACTAAAGGTTCCCCTTTTCACAGTACAATGGTTTAATATATCAGAATCCCTAGTAATCCGATGGGGGTACTGATTAGTCGAAGACAAAACTTGAAAAAGAAGCCTTACGCACCCTGTATTTAATCGTGGTCGCCAAAGATATTATAGAAATTACTCGAGTAAACAGCTACCCGCAAACGTCGATCGTCACGTGACAACATCGTGTTTGATGTATTTATCGTTTCTAATACACGTGGATAAAAAGGAAACAACCAACCAGCCTACCGGCCATCCGGCCAACCAGCAAACCAACCAACCTGCTTCTATGGGATATTAACCGTTTGTACGTAACGTCTGTAATGTGTTTATTTGTAATTGTTACATGTTTTACTTGTGTAATTATTAACATTGTTCTCCATGACTATGAACGTGTGTTTAGAGTGACCCTTGTGGTTGCATATAGTATAATTAAAGATTTAAAGACTAATGCTACACGAAATCGAAGTAAAAATGCAATTATTGCACTTGTTAATGAAATCTTGTAACATCAATGCTTTGCATACGTACCATATCGCCATTACTAGTCAACGTATTTCCTTCTTATTCGTCATTACCACCAAACGTCATTAATTAGACTCCCATGAATTCGTGACGCAAGACCATTTTTGTCCCAGTGTTCTCATACATTCATATTGTATTCGACAATATGAACATTGGTCACGTGTTCATATCTATACACCCGCAGGTTATTTCTAATAAAATATGATTATTAAATGTAATGTTATCAGTTAAAATTAAAAGAAAAGACTGACGTAAATCAAAATTTGTTCGTGTGTTTGATGTGATTATTACTTATTTAATTAGTTTTTTTTAGGCAGAATTGATTAATTGATTCATTGGTTATCAATATCAGTAATTCCCGTCATAACGATAACACGAATTGCAATTAGGTAGGCAGAGGGTAATCATTGTTTCACATACACAACGGATGTTTAACTGTTTAATGTTAACTGACGAACTTTCCCGTTGTTGCCATTCGAACAACGTCATTCCGTTCGAAACATTTGAATTAAACATGAAATGACGGAAATTATAGCCTTAAACATATTCTGACGTGACTACCCCGGGAAAAAATAAGATATGATTTGATAATAGAGCTCCGGATATAATCTTTTAATTCCGTCTCACGAGAATGCAACACTTGGGACAATTGTGAGTTTTTTTTACAATTTGTGGGTTGGTGGTGAAAGAAAATAAATTATTACAGCGAGTGAGATTGTATCTGTTCACAGGCTTCGTCTTGTTCACTATCGTTTTTAATTTCTCCCGCTTAAGGAAGTCACAGCAATATATCGTTGTGGTGGATATTAAAACCATCCACGCCGCCCACCGTTTTGTTCGTTTTAATTAGTTTTACAATAATATCGATCTTTTTAAGGTATTTAAAGGTCTGATATAAGTTTGATAGTTTTGCTTTTGGCGACGCATAAATCTCCGATCCACACAGCTGAACATCGCTTAAGACGAAGATGGAGTGTGGCTTACAGTTCTCGCTTTTGTTGCTCGCTATCTATGCAGTATGTGCCTATGACAACCAACAAGCGGTACAACATGATAACCAGCAGGTAATTATAACTATAATACACATTTGTTCATTCATTTTTTGGTGCGGTTAATGTTTGTTTTCCGATTTGAAATCAGGGCAGTTATCGCGACAGCGGTTCAAATAACGGGAAAATGCAAGATTCACCTTGTTATATCGATGTTGTTCGGCAAAAGTTTCTGATATTGTATTGGATTGTACGTGTGTTCGCTGTTTATTGATTTTATCGAAATGCAGATATAGTTTGATATGCCAAACCAAATTTTAATTATCACATATTGGTTTCTCAATTAACGCTTAGTTCTATGCTTGAAATATGTCATATCGGTGTAAAATTTGGGATATGTGCTTGAGTATTATAAAATTATAATATTACGCCAAAAGTTGAACATGGTTCGATGGAAAAGCATTCATTCAATGAGTATTACTATAGTTAAAGATAGGGGTATGCAACTTCGGGATATGCGGCCAAGATGCAAATTGCGAGATGGTTACAACATCGTATTTACATTTCTAGACTTGCTAATGCATTTGAGTGAGCAAAGGTGGTTACTGTTCGTCTTAAGATGTGTCTATGTGTGATCTTGCATATTTGTGGGGCGTATATTGTGTGGTGTTTTTACGTAGAGCGATTATCTGGCTTATTTATGCTTCTACAATCAAACCTTTCCAAGTGCATTGTGTTTATTGATTTTATAGTCGGTTAGAATACGCTCAATTCACGCGCATGAGGAACTACCACCATCATTCTTGCTACCTGGTGTATATGTTTGACTGCATAGACGAACGTAAAACGTGGCCATTGTGTTCCTCGTTGACCGCATTGCTTGTAACATGTGATACCTATATGGATTAGTACTTCCAGTTTTGTCATTTTAAACTCAGTAATTTAAAATATCAACTTATCACCGATTCAAGTGCTCTCTTAATGGTGATCGTATTGAAATGAACCCTTTGGGCATTGTGTCATTTTTGCATGAGACCGAAATGCCGATTGTAAATTAAATATATGATCCGTCAGAAGCTTTTAAGTCGCGTGAGTCTTAAGAGGCGCAATTCCTCGGCACATATAAATTGCTTCTGGTGCCAATGAAATTAATCTAAACTGAATACTAACTCGCCCACAGCCATCAATCGCTTTATTGACATGTTTCAATAGTTGTATTCCCTTCTAAGTCTAGCTGAAAATGGATTTTTAAATGTGGTTGGTCATTGAAAGATGTATCTATAATCGCGTCCTCCGGTTTTTCTTTTTTTGCTATAATTATTACGCAATTTAGAGTTATTTTCTCGCATCAAAAATTCACAATGTGCGATATTTGATAGGTGTTTAGACTCACAGCTACCCGAGAATACAACATGAAATGTTTTGAATAATGTTTGAAAACATGTGTCAGTATGCTTTCTTTTGAGGAATAGTCCTTAACATTTGGTTTAAAGTTTAGGTTGATGATGTATGTTCCTTAGTACTCTAGTTCTAATTCTATTCTATTGAATTTAGGGTTATCCAATTAAAATAAAATGAATTTAATTAAAAACGTCAATTAAATTGAATTAAATGTAATTTAACTTTACTTGAGATAATGACTCCACTATTAATAATACACAAGTATAATTGAGTATGTGATTATTTCAGGCTGTTATCAAGGTGAACTGTGTATGTTATTGGAACTGTATGTGAAAACATATTTTGAAGCTTGATTACCGTAAAAAGGGGATAGTTTGACGGATTTGCTGGAATGATTTGAAACATCTAGAATAGTATTGCAAAAAAATAATTATTTCTTTTATATTTACGTACAGTTTGCACAAACCCGAGGAGAAAGAGAAAGTCGGCCGGTTTTCATGGGGTTACCTGCGTATAGCATACGGCGTGACGAAAGATCGCCAAATGCTCGGCCAGTCTATATGGGTCTTCCTATGTATAACAGAAATACCGATGACACAAGGCATAACAAAGAAACCCGGTCAGAGGAACGAGAAGCATCTCCCAGCAAACCTGTGTTCATGGGCGTGCCTCTATTTAGCAGACGTTCGAATCAAGACGGCGAAGCACCAAGTGGTTCAAGCGCTAGTAGTCTTGGGCGTCGTATTTTCTTAGGAATGCCGATATTTAATCGACGTAGGCGTTCTGCTACAAACGAAGACGGAGATATTGATTTGGAGCGGTTCGCTCGATCCGCAGATGAACAAAAAGATTACATTTTGTCTGGAAAAAGCCAAGAAGATGTATTCGAAAATGAAATCAGTGACGACGAGGAGAGCGACAACAGCGTTAGATCTAGCGAACCTGGGAAACAAGTATTCGTTGGCCTACCGACCTTCCGTAAAAAGTCAGATGAACTCTCTCGTTCAGCCTTCGCGGGGAAAGCTGTTTACATGGGGTTCCCAGATTTCGGGAAGAGACCGGACGATATGTCACGTTCCGCCGACCCGGGAAAGTCTGTTTTCGTCGGAATGCCGACATTCGGTAAAAAATCCGGTGAAGCCGATGCGGGAAAATCTGTCTTTATGGGTATGCCAGATTTCGGGAGAAGATCGGACGAAACGTCACGCTCGGCCGATCCAGGCAAGTCTGTTTTCATGGGAATGCCACTGTTGTCGGGGAAAAAGCGAGGAAACCCTGTGTATGTAGGTGTACCTGTCATTGGAAAACGCTAATGACGATGGACCACAGAAAACGAACATATTTACCAACACCAAGTACACCATTAATTACTACAATTGAACACACACAACAAAATATTGATAGCTTAGTTAATTATATTATTTGTCTTCTAGGAATAACATTCCGTCATAATAGATGTAGTGGAATTATTAAATGGAAATACGATATTTAATTATTCCAGTTGGAATCGCTCAACCAGACAAAGAGCTGCCCGTAATGGGGAAACCGTCTTTACAGTCATTTTGAATTGATGTATGAACAAATATTTGGAAAGAGATTGCATAATAAACTATTGAGAAACTAATTATATCTCGTCTAACTTTTTAACACTTAAACCAATTATAGCTTGTGTTACAGTTGACCAATTAGAACTCGCGTAGTAGCTACTAATAAACACATGTTTAAAAGTACTAAACAGTTAATTACATTTGATGGACATTATAACCATTGCTTTTAGAAAGAGTTTTAAAACGTGAATTGTGAGTGCTATTGGGCAGCATGCAATTTACCGTACTTTGTGAAAATATTTATTATAAAACTACCTACAAAGTATCGAATATAATACTCCTAAAACATTATTGTACTGATTACTGTAGCTAACAAATAAGGAATTGACAATTTGGGAGGATAAGTTAAATTTATAACAGTACATACAGCCGATTGGTCCACAGACACGATTTTATACACGATCTGCGTACAGATTAGATAGTTACTAATACTAATGTTAAATTAGTGTCCTTTGCAAATGTTGTTTATGCCGAACAAACGTATATTACCGTTTATAATCACACACACGCGCGCGCAAAAAAAAACGTGTTTACTGACCACGCATCACATTTATCCGTGGTTTTGCAAGGGAAACAATCATCATTACGAAAAACAACGGCAGGTTAGAATTTATGCTGTCAACTGTGAACCTAAAACAAAAACACTGCTTCCATGAGCTCATTTCATTTTATTATAGGCGTATCAAGAATGCTTTGTTGCATTTTGCTCACGTTTCCTTTCACTCTTAACGGAATAATTATATCAATAGTGCTCCTTCGTATACAATGTACCTTGTTCTTTATACAATCATATGGTAAACCAAATTTTATTCGTAGATCCGGTCAAGGTAAATCAACAATACGTCTCATGACACATGGAGTTGATTGATTCGCTTAAAACTTTTATCATATCGTATCGTATTACAAAAACTGTCTTGGTACATTGTATTATTTTGTTCTAATTCCGTATACTGGTTGATCACGCATACGTTCCTGACGAATGCCGCACAATGTCACGACTGTGAGTAATATGTTCCATGCTCATAAATTACAGGCAAAGTATTCTCGTGACGTTCGATTAGAATAATAAAAAACGCCGTATGATCGACCGAGCTAACAAAGTTAGTCGTGACGATAAGAACACAAATTCGTCTATTCATATTCAGCAGTCATGGAAAAACATTTCAACCTTCATGTTATTTTTCGTTTTTGCACACAGTGAGTTTCACTTTATTATATTCACACTGTTTTGTCGTACAGACAGACAATGATCTTTGTTCTACAGCTCACGATTTCATTATTCGGCGTACTGCTGCAAATTTTCAGAAAGAACGTAGAATGGTTTATAATGTAATCGTTAAACACGTCTTTATAGAATCTCTGACAAAGAACACCGACATTTAGAATCAATCATTACTAATCTTTGGCAGTGTAGAATTGTCAACGGTGATTGATTTGATTACCTATTTTGATTATAACTCACGTGACATCGAAATGGGTATTATAATTACAAAAAATATATTATGGCCATTAATGTAACTTTAACATATACAGATTGAACGTTACATTAACATAACTGTACAGTCGATTTCATGCAATGTTTTGTATACATCAATTAACATGTATTCCATTGCCGCATTATAACCTTTATACAGACTCACAGCGTAGACGCTGATGTTGTCAAACACGTTTGACAGAAATCGTGCCCTTAGTACACTGTAAATTCATCTCTCGATATTAATGTAAAACACACTTTTCATATATATATATATATATATACACGACAGACTTAATTATTAAATCGACATTTCATCCTTTTATGTGGTTAATTTCGCTCACAGAATCATAGATATTTGTTAATATTGACGTTAATTATGTCATGCTCGTTAATGGCTTAGCTCGTCGTGTAAATGATTCAAATGAGGTACCGTGACATTCTAATTTGGTCGTATTGATGACATTTTTTCAAACTATATAAAGTTTGATAATTTACCGAGGACAAATCTATTCCTCTGATGGTTTTGTCATTCTCACTTTCAGTGCTTTCCCTTTTCTGATACTGTATTCACGTTCAATCTTGAATAAATAAACGTTGACGCATTTTGATTCATTACGTGTAAACGTCATACCCATATTTGTCATACTTATCTTATATGTACACCTGTGTCGTGGTATTTGAATCCCTCTCTACACATTTCTAACATGACGTACCACATTGCTGTGGGATATTGGATCGTTTGAAAAACACTTGCTTAGCTGCCTTCAATTTAAAGCTTATCATTGATACTACAATGAATTATTATTCATAAGTGCCCTCCGTGACAGTTAAAAGGTACCCGTACCCACGTGCGAGTCTTGCTTCGAGGTAGTATGTTATAGTCGTCGTTTCAGTGTTGCCGTTATTCGATGTATTTAAAGTACATGAGTTGAGACACCCACACACAATTCACAGTCATAATCCACTGTGCCAACAACACAAAATACTATAGATATACACGCAGAATATTTGATTCAGTTAAGTTGATAACACAGAGTATATTATGGACTAAAATTAATATTTCTTGCTTCAAAATTGAGAATATTATTTTTGGCACAATAGCAATATTAATTTATTGTATGGGCTTCACAAATCAATCATTTCGTTGACAGTATTTTTTCTAAGATTCTTTAGGACGTTGTACCGTCACATTTCATTTGATATTCTAACAAAGTGAGTTGTGTCGATCTGAATTCCCGTTGAGAACGATATATTACTAAGGTTTTTTTAAGTTAAATTTGCTGTGAATTAATCTATCTTGCCATACGTCGCGGATACCATACATCAAGCAGGTGGTTACTAATTCCTAGAGTTATTTAGTGAATATTAAATAAAATAAAAAAAAAAAAACATTTTATCTGCACAACGCAATACAGTACATGGTTGCAATGAGACCATACATTACGAATGACGCTGGGCAACTAACACGACATGCATATTTACATTGCTATATTTCGGCGTTTTTAAATGTATCTATGTAACTAGATCTAACAAGTTGTTTTCATCTGATATCAACATCAGTATCGATGACAATGATTAAATCTTGGATGACATTCCTTATAATTGGAAGAGGAAACTCTCAATTTCAAACATTTTTTTATAGCAAGATTTAACACTTTGATAAGATACAGTGTTTGTAATGTCGTCATTGGCATCATCGTCATTTGACCAAAGTCATAAAAAAAATTCATTATTCACCAAATGTATTAATTTCAATACAAGCCACAATAGGGAAAGCCAAAGACTGTCTTGTTCTGATAATGCCAAGCATGCTACTATTATACATCTGTCACCGTAACGCCATAAGTTACAGCGTGCCGTAATTTTGCGGTATTTTACGGGGTATTTTCATACTACCATATTAAGAAATGCAAATTCCAAATATGGAATGATTAGGCGCGTAAGCGTTCTCAATAATAAAAACAAACATGGCTGCCACCAAGGTTTGACTGTACTTAATACAAAAAAGTTCGCTGATTCTGTTCTAAACATTTTGAATTGCGGTAGTCCCATGATGTATCCTTGAAGGAAAAGATGTATAATAATAAGGTTATTACGAAGATACCTCAAAGTATGCACTCAGACAGTACGCTGTCGCATCGACCTCCGCTGCGCGTCCGTCGATACTGCCGCTGTACTGTCTTCGTGCATACTTTGAGGTATCATCGTAATAACCTTATAATATTCAAGTGTATTGTTATCTGGCACTTTTTCGAATGACTAGAACTTTTTATAAAATACAGTTTCTTGGGCTGAAAAGCTAAAGTGGGCTAAATCAGATTGAACCTACTAACTAT